TCTTGAGTGGACCGTTAAGCCAGGAATTAATGAAGTGCTCAGAGTTATTGATGGATCTACAACGGAGCACCCGTATCGCACCCTGGCCAACCAGTTACTGTCCACGTATCTTGCCCTACCAGTCCATGCTGTGGCTGTGAAGTAAGCAAAGGATAGGAAGAGAAATCGAAGGTACCGAATAAGGAAATGCACCTAGAATAAGATAACACTAATGCGTGAAGCAAAGCAGAGAAAAGAAATTTAGACAACGAAGATGCGAGTTACTCAGGAAAATAGGAAGGATTCGTGTTGCCACCCTAGAGCGTCAAGTTGTCGCTCAGACCCTTTAATCGTGGATTCCCTGACAAATTTCCGGAAGCATGTTCCAGCGGTCGATGACTCTGCGTGACAGCCGCATTTCCGCCCTAATCCACTCGGACCGTGGATTGTCCAGCTTCAAGGAACGACCGCGTAGAACAGACAATGTAGCGTGGCTGAATAGCCAAGATAAATCTGGACCAACCTTCCCAGTTAAGATACAGTAGTTTAGGAGTAGGTCTCCTCTAAGCCTCCGGTAGTGCATTGAATGCATTCCCAAACAAAGTAGACGCTCGGGGTACGTCCGTCCCCGTAATCCTTCGACTAACCTAGTATCCACCCGTAAAACCCTCTTCAGCTCCAGTTTTTCCCGGACGAACCTGGACGCGGTATTCCCGATGAGGTGAAACGAAAGTCGAGAACAGTCTAGTAAAAACGCCGCCCGTCAAGACTCCGAAAGAACGTGATGTTAACCACAACCTGCGGAACCCTCTGCTTGCGGCCTTCTTCCACTGGTCGCCAGAGTGTAAGGCCGAAGAGTTTACGAAGCCTAGGTCAACGTGGCAAGATACACGGAGACGTTCGACCCCACCGACCAAGTACTTCGTAGGAGGACAACCTCCTCCAATCCGAAGCACTGGGCACTTTATCTGATTTTTGGGCAGTGACCATAAAGTAGACAAGACCAAAAGCTTATCTAATGCTCGCTGAATAGCCTCGGAATCCCCAGGAACCTCGATCATGTTCCACAGCCTCAGGTCATTAGCAAATAGAAGCGATGGTATCCCAAGCTGCGCGGGTAGGTCCCTGACACAGAAAGAGAACAGCAGCGGTCCAAGGACCGAGCCCTGCGGCACGCCACTGAGGACCAACTGCTTAAAAGATAGGCCCCCGCCTACCCGTGCACAATGTTCTCTACCCTTCAAGAAGGCAGTCACCCAATGCAGGGAGCTGCCGGGTACCCCGTTGGAGGTCAGCTTTTGAGCGAGCCTAAAATGGAGTACCTTGTCAACCGTCTTCGAAAAGTCGACGAAAGAACGTCTAGGGCGTTGTCGTTATCCACTGCATTCGCCCAACATGCGCGAGCCACCAGTAGATTCGTCAGACACGAAAATCCTTTCCGGAATACGTGTTATACATTTCTAAGTAACTTAAAGCTACAAAGTTGTCCCTCCAATGAATATTTCGCTAGCTTTCCAGGAGTTTGACCATTACACTCGGCAACCCAACTGGCCTGTAATTTGCAGGGAGACTCCTGTCCCCATTTTTGAAGATTGGACAGATGACGGTCTCCCTTCATTCGAAAGGTAACACGGAACACTTAGTTCCGCAGCCAACTTATGCAACAGTTTCGGATGAATTAAATCAGGCCCAGGGGCCTTAGAACGGTTCAGCCCTTGTAGCAGCCTACGAACTTCCATCGCTACAATAAATTCAGATAGTCCTGAACCCTCTGGGATCCTGCAAACCAGCACAACGCCTGTCAAAAAGGTTTCCCTTACAAACGCTGCTGCATATTGCCCACTAAGTACGCAGGCCTTGTCATAGTCCGGATGCGCATGAGTACCGTCATCACGCATCAATATTGGAATTGACATGTTCGAACCGCAGCTCCTTCTGACATAAGCGAAGAATCTTTTTGGATTCTCTAAAGCTTCGTCTGCTAACCCTTTCCCGAAATTGAGCCGAGCATTCCTTAGGTGCTGCTTACACGGTACCTGTCTTAAGTATCGGTGGACGGAGCATCTTTGTAAGTCCGCCAACATCTAGACCTTTTCTTGAGCAGATGCCTGCCAGTAGGTTCTCTTCAGGGCCACTGTGCTCGTGCCTCCTTTCTCGTTGTGACTGGGATGAAGGGAGTAGAGACTTCTGTGAAGTAGGGTTTAATTTATCCCAGGCAATCTGAACAGTTGCGTCGTCTGAGATCTCACAATGGAAACCCGAAGTCTTGGCTCTCATTGGTTGATTGCGGGCTATATGTTCGGGAAAACTTAACAGCACACTGGTAGAGTCTAGACAGAGTACAACTGAAGAGCAAATAAACATAATCACTGGAGCCCAGTGGAGGTCCGTAAGTAATGTCACCAACAAAAGCGAGTGCCCCAGCAAATACAAGGTCTAAGATTGAAGGTACTTGGGCGTCCATGTATCTAGTGTCAATGAATTAATGCAACGGCGCTTGGAGCGTAAGTTCAAGCAGATCAGCGCCGAATGTGCCTGACGCTAAGTCGCAAGAAAGATCTGCCTAGCAAGCCTCCGGGAGGTTGAAGTCGCCCATAACCAACAAGTATGTGCAGACTGGGAATGAGTGAAGTCAAGTGCCACAAATTACCTAATCCTTTCAACACACCCAAAAAACCACATCCCCCATCTCTATCCATACAAAACCCCTATACTATAAACCCCCTAAAAATAATTCATCCACCTCCCCTCACCCCCCCACCCTAACCTAACCCAAACTCCTCTCAAACATCTTCCCTTTCTTCATCAACCCAACATCCCTATATCACACATACCAAAACTATTAAAAAATCACACTCTAAACCCTACCCAACTACCCCCCAAACCACCCCCCCACACCCAAAACACCCACACACCATATATATATATATATATAGATATACCTCTAAACACCCCAAACACCCAACAACAAGACTCCAATATCCAAATTCACATATATCAATATCCTAGAAAACTAATTATACCCCTTACTTTCCCTACTACTCCTCCTCCATTTCTATTACCTTCCCTACCCTTCACATTTTATCCATCCCCCACCAACACAAAAAACCCCACCAAAACCCCAAAAAAAAACAACAAACACCAACCAAACACAACCCCCCACACCCACAACCCACAACACACACAAACAACACCACACACAACACCCCCACAACCACAAACAAAACACCAAACCACCACCACCCCACCAACACCCCACCAACCCCCCCCACCACAACCCCACCCCCACACAAACAACACCCCAAAACCCCACCCACCCCACCCACCCCCCCCCCCCACACCCCCCCCCCCCCCCCCCCCCCCCCCCCCCCCCCCCCCCCCCCCCCCCCCCCCCCCCCCCCCCCCCCCCCCCCCCCCCCCCCCCCCCCCCCCCCCCCCCCCCCCCCCCCCCCCCCCCCCCCCCCCCCCCCCCCCCCCCCCCCCCCCCCCCCCCCCCCCCCCCCCCCCACCCCCCCCCCCCCCCCCCCCCCCCCCCCCCCCCCCCCCCCCCCCCCCCCCCCCCCCCCCCCCCCCCCCCCCCCCCCCCCCCCCCCCCCCCCCCCCCCCCACCCCCCCCCCCCCCCCCCCCCCCCCCCCCCCCCCCCCCCCCACCCCACCCCCCCCCCCCCCCCCCCCCCCCCCCCCCCCCCCCCCCCCCCCCCCAACCCCCCCCACAACCCCCCCCCACCCCCCCCCCCGGCCCCCCCCCCCCCACCCCCCACCCCCCCCCCCCCCCCCCCCACCCCCCCCCCCCCCCTCACCCCGCCCCCCCCCCCAACCCCCCCCACCCCCCACCACCCCCCCCCCCCCACCCCCCCCCCCCCCCCCCCCCCCCCCCCCCCCTCCCCACACCCCCCCCCCCCCCCCACACCCCACCCCCCCCCCTCCCCCCCCCCCCACCCCCCCCCCCCCCCCCCCCCCCCCCCCCCCCCCCCCCCCCCCCCCCACCCCCCCCCCCCCCCCCCCCCCCCCCCCCCCCCCCCCCCCCCCCCCCCCCCCCCCCCCCCCCCCCCCCCCCCCCCCCCCCCCCCCCCCCCCCCCCTGTTTCACACATCCATTAGAGAGGATGCTCATTTGTCCTCTATGTGTGTGTTGTGTGTCTGTATATGCTTGACACACACCTCCGTCTTCCCATGTGTAGTGTGTGTGTGTGTGAGCTGGTGGCGAAGATCATATATGTGTGTGTCAGTTATTAGAGTGTGTAGACTCTCTGTCATGAGTGATACACTCTCTGTATTGTGCTCTCTGACGACTCTGGCTATATGGCTTGTCTGTCAGATCAGTTTTGCATGCTGCATGTGAGACTGTCCTCTCCTCTTCTTTAGTCCAGACTAGTGACTAATCGATACAATTGTCTCCGCCCAAATATAGTATCTAGCGCAATATCTGCACGTGCATGAGAAACGCTGACGCTATGGAGGCCTCCCTATATCAATGATGAGGCTGTCCCCCACCCATCAGCAAAAAGATAGATACGACTTGCCTCGTAGGACGATATAAACCCAACACACCGCCCCCGCCTCTCAGCACTCACATCCCCTGACCCCGCTACAAGCATCGAGCACACATCCGACATAATATACTCCGCAGATATGAGAATCAATATGAGAGTCTACTCACCCACATATGACATCCGCTAATCGAGCAACAGCTCTTCGCCCTTCCTCCACACAACATTAGGCTTTATTACGCCATATTAAAGTGCAGTCACTGCCGCATCATCACACAGTCCTGACTCTACTCCTGCTCTTGTTATCGACCAACAACGCGGCTCTCGCTTGAAGCACGAACCAATGCGCCCGCCCACTGTTTGGACGTAGGCACACGCCCCAGACCTTCGACAGGCCGTACCCGTGCCGCGTATCACCGCGCCTTTTAGACCGCTCCCACGCTCCCCATGAGAGCGCGCCGCGCTGGTTACACATGACAGAAAGCCGTACGTGTATCAGATGTGAGAGATAGTCTACTGATCCCCCGCTCGTGCTGGACTTTTCGCACGTTGTACACCACACCTGGCACATCGCAGTGTATGATTCGTCTGATGACTCCCAACGAACCTCAGTCTCCCTCACACCAGTCCCCCTACGTGCTATACCTATAATAGAGTAGAATTGTCGGTTGATTGTAGTTGGGTCCTTTTGGTGTTCAAGCATGCTCCATGTAAGGCCTTGTCGGTGGTTACGTTCGTCTTGGGCTAAAATTGTTCCTCTGTGCAATCCCAAAGCTCCAAGAAGTTCCGAACCTCGGAGAAAAGGGAAAGTGAGGGACAACTAAGAGAAGGCCGTAAGAACAGGCATGGAGTTAAACATTGGTAAAGTCTTATGTTACAACCTTTTGGCTTGGGACAAAAGCATGTGCACTGTGCAACAATAATTATACTGAAAGTACCTTTTGGATATCCTATAGAATCATTAGCCGTATGGGTGGATTGCTAACGCCTGAGTAGAGACAAGTGTGTTGTACCAGTAAGTAATCTACGAAGCACCGGTTTAGTATGAGCCAAAGGTTGCGTGGGGAAGATCAAAAAGAGTAAGAACATTGGTGGTGATTGCAAGGTGCATGGGCAGCAAGTAGCTAGCGTAATAAGATACGGAGC